AAATCTAAAACGTAACATTGTCTGTAGCCTGCTGTTGTTACCACTGTCCTGTTTGAAAAGGAATGAGAGAAGCTGCTTATTTTGTCATATGTGCCGATATTAAACCCAAGGTACTAACTAGCTAACTGACTGGATTCCCATTAACCTTATAACTGCTGTTGTTTGTGTGTGTGTGTGTGTGTGTGTGTACAGTGAGACAGCCAGGTTCATAATGGATATAAGGGCGGAAGGTCAGGAAGAATGAGGTAAGGAAACAGACAGGGAGCAGTGACAGGCACAGCAGAAACTCTTAAACTGCTTGAGAGAGTTGATCACCAAACAGTGACAGATTTGCCAACATCAAGCTGAGGCAACGTTAAAATAAAATAAAAAATCTGCAGAGCCATATTAGTATCTGCAGTAAAGATCTTTTCATACATTGTACCATAGGCATAGTTGCCTCCATTTTTATAATTTCTTTATTAATATTTTGTACATTTCAAGGACTCTTCTATTTTTGGAGTGTATTTTTATGTATCTGTATTATATTATACATACACATTAAAAGCTCACTATGAGCATCATTCATTATTCTCCCCAGTAATTAAGGTTAGGATGTATTTTTATTCTGATCCATTCTTCTTTTGCAGCATTTAAATAACCTTGATCAGATTTGATGGTTTTGTTAAAAACTTTTCAAAAAAGCGTTTTGCTTTTCTTTCACAAATGTGGGTTTAGAATTTTTTTTTTAGAATTGAGTATCGATTTATTGATTAGTATTCAAATATCTCGGTGAAAACAGAATAAAGATCTACCACAAAGCAAGAAACCACGAGACAAGGCTAATCAAAAGGTACTGGCTGAAGCATGTGCTTATTAAATTGTGTTAAAATGTACAAAACAGTGATGTCATGTTTTGTGACGAGGACCCAGGCACAGAGAGACTTGATGAATTTAAGAATCTTATGATTTAATAAAGAAATTTGCAGACTTGCACAGAGATTGTAAAATTATGATGACTGATAACGGAGACGAAGACAACAGACGATGAGGACAGAGAGGAACAGAGGGAACTCGGGACAACTGGAGACATTTAAAGATGCAGGGACTGACAGAGACGGGGAAAACGTCTCATCGTGATGAGTAAAGTTGAGCTTGCCTGGCTGAGCAGCTCTCTGGGTGCTCAGCACCCCCAAAGCTCTGATCCTAGAATCGCCCCTGGAATGATCTGCTGCTGGGAGGAGCTGATCAAATCAGAAGGAATCACATCCATGTCTGTCCTGGGACGGGGTGATGGTGCAGGAGCATGAGAGCATCTACAACGACTACTGACTGAACCTGAAGACAAACACAGAGGTTGTATAGAACAAGAGTAAAATCTGCTGAGGCACACAAACTGACTACAAGACACAGAGGAGGCAGAAAACTGAACCCAGGGAAATAATCAAACCAACACCATGAACAGAAACTAGAACACAAAAACAATTACACTCCAAATGCAAGGTTACCTGAAAAGGGGGATGGACCATAGTGCAATTCGTCCTGATTGGTGATTGGTCAAAAGTCTAGAGTGAAAGAAGGGGACTTCTGATTGGTCAAAAATGTGCAATGAAGAACACTTTTGTTCTTCATTTGGTCCGTTGTCTTTTTTTCTTTATCAGGTGATGTTTCCAGCTCCTGATGCCTGGACTGCTGTCTGTGGTCTTCAGCGTGTTATTTATTGACACAACAGTAAGCATTATCAGTGTATATACAATAAAAGCATCTAGTTTTTACTCCAACGTTGATGAGGATTTTTCTTTGGCTCTTGTGAACCAAGAGGTTGGAAAATCCCCTGAAATTACTCTTGACATTTGCACGAAGAGTCAGTGTTGGACTTTGCTGCTGCGTCGGGTCCCTTTGTCAAAGGGGAAAGAGTTTTAAAATCAGTGCAAAGTTGCTATGAGAGATGTTTTGTATTTGAAGAGGGGTCACTGAATAGTTGATTATGAAAATGGTGTGATCATACACCATGGCTTTCACAGTCACTAGATCTCAACCAGGACTATCTGGGGGAAACTTGCCTGACATAAGAGATGGATAATAGCTCTGTTGGTGTTTCTGAATCAATTCCAGGAAACACTGAAGCTGTTGGGAGGCATTTGTTGTACAATTACTTCAAAAACCTGTGTTTGCCACCTGCTTGTACACATTGCTTCTTTGTTTCTGGTCTGTTGTGTGAGCCTGTTGGCAGAAAACACTGTTTGTGTGTAACTTAATAAAAAACATATCAAACATGTTTCTCTCTATAGATTTTATTTATTTATACGTGTATGTTTTGTCAGTGACTTCGGATCTTTGTGATGCTGATTCAAAGAAGGTCAGTGAGTCTAAGGCAGATTGAAGCCCAACTTAGGCGTTCATTAAGCGAATCCACAGCTCAGTTACTGTAACACAGGACACTTTATTAAAGTGGATGAAACAGGAATACAGGAAAACAGCACTGCAGGGTCGTCAGTCAGTGAACTTGATTATGAATGTAATGCGAGGAGCTTTACAAATTCAAAGTGCCTGTCGGCTGCGCTGGAATCATACACGTTACCATCAACAATATCATCGTGAATGTTACACGGAAAGTTTACAACGAGCAACATGTACTGAAAATAGCCGTACACGGGTAAATCTGCCCAGTGTGATATTAAATATATGATACACTTCATAAATCTCACATCATTTGTCATGAGCCACCAAAACACCACTGAGCACTGCTGATGTGAAGGCGCGTGGACTCTGCTCCATGAAGCTTCTGTGCGTCGGTGAAGGCAGCGACTCGGCTGAGCAGGTTCGTCTCTTCCAGCTCCAGACTTTGCTTATGGGAAGCTCATGTGTTTCGAAACGCCGCGATCACGTGACCACAACCAAACCAGGTGTTGTACCTGCTGCTACGATAAGGCCAGGACAACGATTCACATTTTGTATCACACACAGTCATTTGGGCCGGGCCTTGTAGTTACTGGATGAGTGCTTTGATTGATGCCACTCATTGTTTTTGCTGTGGATTGTGATGACTAGTATAGATTATTCAGTCAGTCAACAGACTCCAGTAAATATATTGATATATAAATAACATAAATATCTCACTGGAATGATTAACAGCGTATAGATGAGAGAAAGAGAGACAGGTGGATGAGCTCCATCCACTCCTATCAGCAGAGAGCGAGAGCTGCAAATTCATTAGTGTCAATAAAAAGTTTTTCTCTGCTCAACAGAAGTTCTCAGCTCTGACTCCGTCTGTTTGCTACCTTTTTCTACTTTCAACAGAAAACTGTATTTGCTGCATTAGATGACATCATCCTCACAACAACACACGCCACCATGAAGAGTATATTCATACTGTCAACAGAGAAACACTCATTAATTACAGGCAATCTTTTTCTTAACATATTTTCTTGGCAGATGAGTTTTGTCTTTCCTTCTTTCGTTCCCCCGACGTGTCTGTTGTGAATATTTCATAAACAACAGCAGTTGTGCTGGGACGGCACGACCAAAGCTCCAGTCTCAGTAAAACATCATGTAGGTGTTACAGGACGAAGCATCGCTCAGGAAAGTTTATTCATGGTTACAGGTAAAGATGTGACGATTGGTCAGAATCAGCCCCTGAAAATGTGATTAATTTGACCTTTTTATTTAAAAAAAAACAAATGTTGTCAGTTTTTAAAATTTAAATATACATGGTTAGGTAAACTAAAAACTGATCATCCTGTTGGATCATCGCTGGCCTGACGTGAGAATCATAGTTACTGACAGTCTGGCATAAAAAGAGCTCACCTGCATCACTGTTTCACAGAAAAGCATCCTCGAGATGTAGAGATAACAAACTGGCAGCAGGAGTCACAGCAGAGATGGTTTCAGATTGTTCTGGCACAAAAGCTTCGTATGTTTCAGTGTTTCACTACCTTTATCTCCTGGGAAACGAAAGTCCAGAAACGTAATTCAATACACAAGCGAACGAACACAGGCATGACGAACAGAAACAGAAGCTCTGACAGGGAACAAAGGAAACCACAGGCTGTATGTACACGGACACAACGAGGACTAACCAGGAGCCTGGAACTAAAACTGCTGAAACTAATCAAGACAAGTAAATAAGACTAAATACAAGACACAAGAAACAAATGATGACCAAAACCAGACAGGAAGTAACTAAATCAGGAAACCTCCAACTTCACACAGGACTTCACCTCTAATATACAACGGCAACCAAGAACTCACGACAGAGGATCAATAAACGATCAATCATTAAGCTCAGAATCAAAAAAGAAAATACTTCATAATAACAGAACCTTAAAGTCCAAGCCGAGCATGGCCATCGCGGAGCTTTGGCTGCTCCGTGTGTCTCACATCACTTCCATGAATGAGATCTCACTGAAACGATTTGCATCTCCATCGCCCTGCACCGATCTCTCCATCAGCGTCACATCTGACTTTACAATTGGTCTGTGGTCTCAGGTGCAGCGTTAAGGCCAGCACAGTCGTTAGTAACTGGGGCAGAGGTCGATCGGTGCGGAATGAAATATAAAATATAAATATAAAGAAAAGTGTTTGTGACTTTATTTGTCGGTGAAGGTTCTCAGTCATCCAGGTCATCGTCGTCGAAGGAGCTCTCTTTCCTTAGACGACTTTATTTGTCAGAAGAAGAGTGAACATAAAAATCTAAGTAATAATATTTGTAAAATAAAATACAGAAATGCTTTTAATATTTGACATATTTTGTTGGCAAATTAATAAAAATGAAACCATTTTCACAGGAAAACTGGTGGAAAATCTGTATGAATGTAAACATATCAATAAAAACAAATCAGGACAACAACATTAGCACCGTGAGCAGTGCGATCTGTTTGCATCTGTGTTTGCTTTTGGTTTCAGAAGAAGAAGGTGTGTCAGGTGTGTTTGTGGCGTGTGCTCAGCTGACTGACGGTCAGGTATGATGCAGGCGGTCACGCCCTCGTGCTTTACAGACTCCTGCCGTTGGAGTTGGGAGACACTTTGAGAAGAGACTCTGTGGGGATGGAGCTGTTTTCATGTGGAGTCCTGCTGTTGGCCTTAACGCTTACAGGTGAGTCTCACCTGAGATTTAAGACTCACAATCTCATTTATTTTGCAATTTAAATGATGATACAAAGAAATTCGGCTCGTCTCTTTTTACAAAATTGTAATAATTTACAATATTGTAAGTTATAAATGGCCGTGGACACATTTGTTCAGGTTGTAACATCAAACAAAATTAAAAGTCTGCTTTTAAATCTGTAAATTTCCTGTTTTCACTGCTACACGAACACGAACATCCAGACGAGTCAGTTTGACTCCGTGTTTCTCAGAGACCTGAGCCGGGCTCTTGTGCTGCTTTTACTGCTCATTACAGAACAATACAACAAGCTGACTCATGATTACCAGAAATAAATGAACAAATGAAAAGAGCCACAACAATACCAGCTTCAACAACCTGAGATCTTAAAGTTAGAAGGATCGTTTTAATACTTTGTACTTTATTTCACTAAATTCAGAGATAAATGTTAAATGTATAAAGTTTAGAAGGATGTGAAACATCACAAATTTACTCAACTAATAAAATTAACAATTCATGTACATGGAAATGTCTCAGCATCAATAAAAAGCATACAATTTGTATTGCTGTAGTTTATCCTTCTGCTCACACGTTTACAGGTTTTTTTTTAATGTAAGTTCTCAGTAAAAGTATCTTTTAAATATCTGAACCCTTCCTCCACTTCACTGCTGACAGTTCCTGCTCTCAGGCGACTGTCCTGTAAGAGATCTGTGGTAGTTTCAATTGGCAGTCATGGGAGTGAATTCTTGTAAACTGTACCAGTTTGAAGATAAGATTTTACAGACCCCACGGCTCAGGTACAGATAACAGAAGAATGCAAAGAGTGCACCAGAATATAAACTCAAGAAATACAAAATAAGATAATCCAGTATATACAACGGTAGGTTCTATGAATGTGTTATGGATAAAGGGTCGTGGAAATATGCAAAGAATAAGTCAAATATTTTGACGTTTACATTTAGGTCGGCACGTGGCTTCTGACAGGAATATTTGGGGCTATTTTGGTGTAAATACTGAAAACTGCAGTTCTCTATTTGCTTGAGGCATCGAGTCAGTCCCACAGACAACTGTAGCCTTTAGATGTGTTTTCTTAAATTGAGGGCTGCTGTGAGTGATGGATACAGACAGCACGGCTGCTAGCTGTCGGCTACCGTTTGCCTTCACTTTAGTTAGTTATTCTTCGAAGATCGTTGTGTGAAGCTAGCCGAACAAAGCAGAATAAGAGGAAGTGAAATAAAGTTCACCCGCAGGAAACAATCTTGTGAAGTTTGTCCTCTTTCAGTCTGAACAGAAACCATCAGGAACTAATTAATATGTTCAAGGTTCAAGGTTCTTTATTTGTGACATACATAGTTATACAAGTATAACACACAGTGAAATGTAGCGGGGGGGTGTAGAGGAAGAACATTATATATATATAGTATATACACTGGGTGAATGTGCAGTAGTAGCAGCAAGCAGGTGAATTCTGTACATTAATATGAATAGGCATCTGACTATTTTACAGGATAGACAATATAAGCATATTTAAAATTAAAGGAATTGAAATGTACATTGTGCCTTGGTTTAGTGTCTGGAAGAGTCCTGACTCAGTCAGTTATAGATGATGTGAGAGGGCGGGTGTGTGTGTTTCGGGCCCGGATGGCTTGGGGATAGAAGCTCCTCTTGAGTCTCTCTGTCCTTGCCCGGATGATGAGGAACCTTCTACCAGATTGTCATAGTGATGATGCCAGAGCACATTGTGTACATAACTATGAGATGCCCGCATGCACTGGTAGCATCGGGCACACTGAATGAGTTTCTAAAGCGTGATGACAGCGCCGCTGTGCTTTACTGATGGTGACAGTCAGCTGCTCAGCCCTGAGGGCCTGATGGATGGGGGCTTCCTCATCTCTGTCGAGGACTGAAAGTTGATTCCAATAAAAGTTTTTAAGAGTATTTTAATTTAACATTAATTACAAAACAAGGAGAAATCAGCTGAGAAAAACAAACAAACATGATCACGCCATCATGACTTCATCATAAAATAATAAAACAGATCGTCCCTGTAATCATTTAAAACATAAAAAGCAACAAAAGCGTGTTTTCCTGCTTCCTCTTACATCACAGGTCAGAGTTCAGACGGAGTCAAGCTGTGAGTAAAGAACAGCTTTAATTCATCAAATAATGCAGTTCAGTAATAATAAAAATAATACATTTTATTTTAGACATGATTTAAAAGAATCTTCCTGCTAAAACATTAAAAGGAACCAGAAAAGTGCTTTCACCATAAAGTTCTTTGGTTTTCTCACATCATGCTTTTAGACTGTAGAAGCTCCGATGTTCCCGACGTGTCCCACAGAACAAACAAATTCTTGGAAAAGAAAACATGATGTCAGCTGCTCATTTAAGAGCTGTAGACTAAAGTAAACAAGTCAAAGAGCTTTGAAGTCATACAGGTTAAAGGAGCTTCAGGTCACGTCAAAGCTTTTTTCGGTTTAAAAAAACCAGGCTGGCCGGTTTGATTCTCGGTGTCCTGCTGATGATTCATACTGAGGTATCGACACGTGGGTGGGTTTTACCCTTCACTGAACGCTCTCGTCTCAGAGGACGTTCTCTCACACAGGTTGAATCAGAAACAATAATTATGTCACTGCAAGCAGAAATCAGCCATGGTTACACTAGCATGGACCCCATATCGGTATAGACCGAGCATCACTGGTAAAAACCATATGACCATAAAAACAGGAAGTACTGTAGAGAAAAAACACCGACTATGGAAATACAAAAGTTCATTGAAAGCTTTATTTAAACTTTTGTATTTCAGTGATGTGTTAAATGTGACATTTCCAGGGTCGTTCTCCTCTTAACACCACGCTGGTGAACAAAGTGTTTATTCAACGACTTCCTGTTGGGTTCGCAGATGAGTAAAAAAAGAAAGAGTTGCCCATGTCGGCCTGCAATGAGATCGAGTTTTTCATTCTTTAAATTTAATGTTTTTGTTGACAGTCTTTTAAAATCTCCACAATGACAGGAAGTAGCTGATTTCCCTCTGAAATTTAATGAAGCATAAAGCAGAATGTTTTGTAAATGTTCGCATTCAAAAGTAGGCTGGTAATAGGGCTATTTGTTGTCAGTCAAACCATCAACCGTGGAAAGATAAAATCTTTAATGCCGCGCTTCTTCATACCACAACCTCTCCGTACATTCGTGTTCTTACTGTGGCCTCCTGATATGTCCTGTCTTTCAAGATCATCGTTTTCTTGTCTCAGACAAAGACATCGTTTCCGTCTTTTGTTTGGCTTCGTGCCGCACATTCCAGCCCCACCCAGAAACTCCAACAGCACGTTAAGAACAACCAGCCTGTTCAGTCCACGGAGATCTAACAAATACATCATGTCTCTGTCTCTATTGTCTCTAAACAGGAAGCAACGCACAGCTCGATGGTGAGTACACACACACACACACACACGGCTATAAACTGTGTTTTCTGAACACTGTAAACCAAGTTTAGAGGCAGCAGAGGAGTTTCTAATAAATAAAATGCAGATTGAATTTCTTTTACTGAGATGCAGTTTGGGGCAAATGGCCAGGACACAAACCTTGCAATATAGTAGGTAATAGTAATGGATAAGAACATGTATGAATAAAATGCTTTTCAGCTGTATTATTCTCAGGGGGTTTTTTTCCTTGCACGGCAGTTCTTCATCGTTAAACAATAAGAACAAGTAGTCCCGTATTCCTCTATTCATTATGAAGAGGAATTTGAAATACACTAAGTTTTGATTTTGAATTTTCCAAAGTCTCTTAAGATGTTCCTGAAATTTGGGCTCATTGAAACGGGACAGACTGATGAGCTTTCATTTGTTGACCTCTGGATTCACTCGTGCTTTGTTTATGGGCCGACACGGCGTTATCTGGTCTGAAGCTGCTCTCCAGCTTTGAACGTTTGAGAGTCATTTTTCTTTGTGCATAAATGTCTTTGCCTACAGTTTGTGGACAAGCTCCACTTAACACCAAGATTGTAGGAGGCCAGGATGCTCCTGCGGGAGCGTGGCCCTGGCAGGTCAGTCTGCAAGCATCCGGTCGCCACTTCTGCGGAGGCTCCCTGATCAACAATGAATGGATCCTGACTGCTGCTCACTGTTTCCCCAAGTAAGCTCTCACCCTGTCATATGACCCACCCTCTTCACCTGTCAACTATCAATTAAGCACTAACAGTCAGTACTTCTTGCTATTTTCAGCACCCCATCAAGACTGACTGTTCACCTCGGATACGAGTCACTGCAAAGCACTAATACTAATGGGGTTTCCCGGTCAGTGTCACGGATAATCAAACATTCACAATACAACTCCAACTCCAACGACAATGACATCGCACTGCTGCGGCTGTCCTCAACTGTTGACTTCACGGACTACATCCGACCTGTGTGTCTGGCGGAGGAGGGCAGCGTCTTCCCTGCAGAGACGACCACCTGGGTCACCGGCTGGGGCAACATCCGAGACGGCGGTAAGAACTGGAGCAGCGACAGTTACTAACCTTTACTGTTATAGTCGGATTATGATCATACTCAGCTTCTGCTTTTCTTCATTTCCTGGCGTATCCATGTGATCTTAATGAGGTCAGTGTTTGCGGTAACTCCTGTGCGCCAAAACTCTTTAGAGCAGTTTTTTCCTACTCTTGGATCTTTATGATGCAGTTGACAGCTGATATGCTTAAGGCTTGAAAGCTCACCTCTGGTGCGAGCAAACATTTGCTCATGGCGCTCCAAAATTGCTGTCAAGGCGGCGAGGATAGGAGCGGAAGCTGCTGGGTCTGCTGAGTCCATTTCATTGGCTGGATGATTCTGTCACATTCAGGGGAGGAACCAAGCACAGAGCAGAGTTCAATACAAGGAATGATCTTATTTATATAATCACCAAGTGGAGATATATACAGTGGGGGAATTGCGGGGTCCAAGGGAAAAATCTAATTTACACTCGCCCTCCTCTTCACTCAAATTCACACAGCGGGTACCCACGCAGGGTCCGGGAAAAGAGCAGGTGTGTGAGCCAAGGGCGGGAGCCCGTAATGAGCTCCGCCCCGGCGGGGAGGTGAGAGGAGAAAGTAAACAGAAACACATGTGGCCTTGTGGAGCCGTCCGGGCAGACACGGGACCATGACATTAGGTCTCTGACTTTGCAGGAAATGTAAGTAAATACATTTTGAAGAGCAACTCTGAGGCTAACTAAAACAGCAAGTTTAACAGAAGTGAGTGAATGAGTGTACACAGGCTACAACTCTAACGATATCAAAGATAAATATATGTCAGTATCCAAGCATCTTCTTCACACGTGGTGGATTCATGCCTCAAACTGCACATTTCTGTTTGGTTTTTTTCAGTTTCCCTTCCTTCCCCTGGGACTCTACAGGAGGTGAGCATCCCTATCGTGTCCAACACCGACTGTAACGATGCCTACAATGGTAGAATCACAAGCAACATGATGTGTGCCGGCGTGACTCGGGGAGGAAAGGACTCCTGCCAGGTGAGTGTGGGTCCATGTGAACACCTACAAATGAGTCTGAAGCCACGACGTAAAGCACCAATCACAACGCAGACAGTGGAACCTCTGAAGGACCCAAAATATGAAACATGTATTTGTTCACACTTTTGTCGTACTGTGAAGATCAGTTTGACTTGACTGAGTTTGTGTCCAGATGTTTTCATCACATTGAAAAACTGGCTCAACTTAAACTGTCTGAGGAATTGGAGTATTTTAAAGTTATTAACATAAATTAGATAAATGAAATTAAGTGTAAATGCTAAAAAACAGCGTAAAAAACTATGTTATATAAAAATGAACACAGTAACAAGAACTACAACAATGTTTACCATTGATTGATTGGTAATTGATTTATTTATCTTTTTCATACAGAATTTAACATTTGTGCTTTTTTTGGTGAAAATTGTGTCTCGCAAATGTTAGCAAATTCATTTGGCAGACTGATATTTACACACACACACAATTATACAAATATAATATTGTCACTTTTGAACAGATGTAAATATATCCATATATGCATCCACATGGCTGCTGGTGCTATAACCACCATGTCTGGTGTGTGCAGGGTGACTCTGGAGGCCCACTGGTGGTTAAAAACAGCTCCGTTTGGGTCCAGGCTGGAGTGGTGAGCTTTGGGATAGGCTGCGCTCAGCCCAATTTCCCAGGAGTCTACACTCGGGTATCACAGTACCAGTCCTGGATCAACAGACAGATCACCTCCAACCAGCCGGGCTTCATCACCTTTGTGCCCTCCTCGGCTCACTTCATCTACCTCTCAGTTCCTCTGCTGCTCTCCCTCCTCCCCATCCTCTTCTCTCGCTTTGTCCTCTCATAGGAATGCATCATTTCTGCTGAACATCACTGGAAAAACTGTATTTTCATCATCAGTTTCTCAGACAACAGAAAAATGTTCCCTGAAGGCTCAAAAGTTCACACTTGTTTCCAGTTCACTTTGCTGTTTTGATAACATTAGACAAACCGGGAATCCTGGGAATGTTTGGTTTTATTTCTGTTTGTCAAGTCATTAAAACAGCTTAAAAAACAACAAATCCCCCCCCAAAAAGATTGATTACTTCCTTTAAAAACAATGCTTACATGAACTTAACTGCAGAATAATGACCCTTAAACTTTTAAGTATCACTGATTAACAATGCATATTTATAAAAAATAAAATATTTTACGTCAATAGAGCCTGAGCACTGTTGTAAATACATTTATTTTGAAAAAGAAAATCAGTCTTTAAATGATTTCAAAGAACAATTTGAAAAAAGCTTTAGCAGAATTATTTTATATTTGATTAATGTTTTCGTTGAATTAAAACTGTGCCATCCATCACTTTCTATTTATATATATATATATATATATATATATAGCAAATAATAATTTAATTTAAAAACCCCAGTATGATAGACTACATCAAAAGGAAGAAATTAGCAATGCCGTATAATAACTACAACAACTCTTATCTTGAATATGTTTGGATAAAACACTGGTGTAAAAAAAACTATTAAGATTAAGATTTTAAAATATATTTTCACAATTTAAAGACAGAATATATCAAATATAAATTGATAAAATGACATTTTAAAATGTAACATTTAAAAAAATCTTATTGTTGTATTATTTGATTTTTAGAATTTAATATATAAAATCAACCAATGATTATATTTAGAATAATAATATTAACAATAATAATAATAATGGATTGCATTTATAAAGCGCTTTACAATACCACTTTTGATCCACTCTCACATTCACGCCCTGGTGGAGGCAGCTTGTAGCCACAGCTGTCCTGGGGCAGACTGACAGAGGCGAGGCTGCCATGTCGGCCCCTCTGGGGCACATTCTGAAACGATTTAATTCACTTTCATCTTATTTGGTAATTGGCCTGTATTTGTATAGCGCTTTACGTCATCCACACATTCACACACTATTTACATTGTGCTCAATCAAACACGGACTGTCTCAGAGCAGTCGAAGCAGAGAGAAACACTCGGAGACAGCGAGGAGGAAAAACTCTAAATATGAAGGAATCTCAGACAGAACCAAGCTGATCTCAGACCTGCACAAACACAAATCAGTCTTTGTACAACCATGATGAAGAAACTAAAGCCATTTTATTGACTTTATTATCTCTTTTCATCTCTCTTTTTGTTGATTAACATTAATGTTTTAAAATGTTTGAGCCAAGTGCCAGTAACTGTGATTTTCTGTTTAAGTCCAATAAACAGGAGGAATATTTACTATTATTAACTTTTGCACATCTTATTAAAATAATCGGGGATATTTGTGTGGCCTGTGTTTAAACCTGCTGCTGTTTGTTTGGTATGTTAGTGAAAAACTGTCTGGCGTGATATCTGTGCTCTTTTATTCTATTGAATAAAACATATTTTCCTAACGTGCAGGATTCTGTGTGCAGCTGTAAAATAATGTATTGTAATCATTTCATTCTGCATGATAATCGAGAGGATGTGGGACTTTGGCCTTCATCAGACTAACTAATGTTACCTCGGAAACAAAGTCGACCATTGGTGACATCATCATGTGAGCGGCTCCTTAGATAAAACCTCACCCATCATAAAGTGACGTGCAGCAGCAACAGTAACCAAAAAGTAGTGGCTGACCCTGAGCTGTGCTCCGCCTCCCTCAGTGTTTCAGTTTTGCATCTCATGACAGTCACAGTAACTACAGTCAGAGGAGGAAGATGCTTCCACTGAACACAGCTAAGCCCACACTGCCACACACCCGCTATGTGTGGAACCAATTTTTAGTGAACCCTCGTTTTTCAACATGAGGCCCTGTGGCCAGAATTGGCCCCGCAAAGCCTCTTGGGAAGGACGCTGCTATCTTGAGAAAATGTGAAGCAAAGCATCAATTTTGGAGTTTAACGGCATTTTCATGCATTTCACAGTTCCTTCCATGCAGGCATTCATACATGTCACACAGTTACATGACCGAAAAGTTGCTGTTTTGTTTGTTTGTTTTTTAGACCATGGGTCTAAAAATAAAAACAACAACAATAAAAAAACAACAATAAAAAATAAAATAAAATTGTGAATCAAGAAAAGCTTTCTGGGCAGCTGTCAGAACTTTATTAATAATTTCACACATTTCTGCATCATGTGGAAAAACTGGGACACACTGATGAAATGATGTTTGTCAAACGGAGACATGTGAGGGATTAAATGTGCAGTGAAACGTCATCACACTGGCAGGAAGAGGAAAGCATCACTCGCCCAGCGAGCGTCAGCTGACTGGGTCCTCCATGTTAAATGAGTTGAACCTCTCTCTGCAAGTAAGATACAGCTGCTGACCTCAATCTGAAGTAAGGCTGCAGCTGTCCATTATTTCAGTGTAATCCATCGATTATTCCATCGATTAATTGAGGAATCAAATAAGAAATGCTTTTGTGTTATTAATGAGCAATATAGGATTATCAGAGGACAAAACGCAGGTCTTTGAAAATGAACTTCTAACTGGTTTCCAATTTAAAAGTTTAACTGAAAATAAAATCTTTCAAAACATGCTTTGATTGTATGTACATGTCATATTAAAATAACATTTATTCTTTTAAAGAATTTTTTAAAATGAATACAGTATTTTATATTATTTGACTTTTAATCTGAAAAATGTTGTGAAAACCCTAACATTGGTCTAGTACACCTCACGACTCTCCCTGTTTGCTGCTTCCGTGTAAATATGCCGTCATTGAGCTGTATCATCTAAACATGAATCAGCTTTAATAAGCTCCTGGAGCCTGGTGCAGATGTTTCTCTGTAACAAACAGCGGTGGATGGAAGTTTGTTTTCCTTCATGTTGGACTTTGTTCATCGGCTGCTTTGATGAAGGACGCGCGGCAGTTTTTCCCAGTGAAGGTTTTAATGGTGATCACAGGAACAACTGCTGTTTTCTTCCACCACACCTGAGTTTACCTGTTGTAAAAGGCTCCGCCTCTTTGCTGTTCTCGGTGTGTACTTGTTAAAGACTTGTTAAACTGTGGGTTTTTGTGTGGCCTTCATACTTTGATACCGTCTGTGGCTCCCTGTTAAATAAACTGTTTGATGTTTTGCAGATCATCAAAATCAGATAAACGTCATTATCGATCACAGAGCTGTGAAAATGTGTCTGAAATGTCTCTGAGTCTATTCAAGAAGCTCCACACAGAAAGATCAAATGTCGTTTCGAGTGGTTAATCACGTTAACAGCAGTTCTTTATGGGTCCAAGCTGCAGGGACTCCATCAGGGTCCTGATGAGGTGAAAGGTCACGTATGACTGTGCTGATTTATGATTGGCTGGTTATTTTGCTCTGATTTGTTTTGTTTTTTTTCTATTGGAAAGCTGCTGTCAGCAGGGAGAGGCGCTGCCAGGTGTTTTTGTAGATGTAATCACAGTTTCTGTCTGTCCACGGCAGGTTATGAAGGTACGAAGATGTTTAGATGACGTATGGCCCTCTCTGCTGGCCGTTAGCAGAGGTTGTCGAGTTGTTGAATCAATAAGCAGAGTGAGAAACAGAAAAGCCTCTGTGTTGACTGCAGCCTGGAGGCAAGATGCACGTCTTCCTGTGAGCACGCAGGTGAACACTTTCTCTGCAGTTTTACTTTCACTCTTCTTTTCTTTTACTTTTCTTTTATATTTCCAATTTTTCTTCATTTAACAGACTTTGTTCTTCTGCAGCTCGCATCATTTTAAGGAAGATGTTTCTGTTGGTCCTCAAAGATTTTAACTTTCATGGATGTTTCAGCTGTGTGATGACGACAGGCCTCACCTGCCCATCAAGTGCTCATCGCTCAATTTTTCATTCGTGTCCGAGTCTCTGAAACGGTGCTGCGTATAAAAATGTCTGTAACTGCTGAACATTTGTGTTAAAGCTCTGAAGCTGAAGGTCTGAACTTTAATCGCATCCTGAGTGTAAAACTCAAAAGCTGTCCCTGTCCACACATTCACGGCTCTGACTGCACTTACAGTCCTGAGTTTAATTTGCAAGCTAAGACTCTAGAAATCCTTTTATTTATTTGAGTATAATAAATATACATTCCTCTGTCATCAGTACAGCTACATGTTGTTTAACTCATTTAAATAAATAGTGACATGGTAATAAATATAGAATTATGGTTCTTGCTTTGGTTTTGTATCCTAACAAGTTTGACTCTGAATCATGAGACATTTCAGCTGATGTGTAATGTGTTTAATTTCATTCTGAACAGGCGGCTGATGTTTAAATACTGCAGTCTGTATTTATCAGATGTAAAGCAGGTGTATTGGAACAACACAATACAAGAAATACAAAATGCAAATGAGCAGCCAGCAGGAAACAGATTATAGAGGAAGAAATTAGAGGCGTGCAGTCGATGGTTAGGTCTCAGATTAGAAAGCAAATTTTTTGTTTAGTCAAACAAGAATGCAAATAGATGTGCTGCAGTTTGTGCTGTTTTGCATGAGAGCAGCAACAAACAGCAGGACTTTATCAAGGCCAGGTGGGTCACAGCTAGGGTTGCCAACCGTCCCTTAAAAAACGGAATCGTCCCGTATTTCGAAACAAAAGTACACGTCCCGTATTGAGCTAATAAGGGACGCACTTTGTCCCGTAATACAGTGAGAATCAAAAGTAGTCTATAACTTTTAATGGAATTAACGCTTTGTTTGAAATCATAATTCCCAGCCCCTCTCCTGCTTTGTGACCAATGAGCTGACAGCACACTTATGACAATTCGAGTATGACAATTCAGATTACCGCTCATCTCATTGGTCGAGGAAAGGTCGCTTACGGAGAAAATACCGGAAGACAACAGATGACCACAACAAGAAGCATGGCCAACAGGGAAACAAACGCCGACACTGCGGTGCACGTCTCGGACGACAGTACACCTAAAGCTGGGCAGACACTGTGCGATTTTTTCAGTCACGTTATTCAGCTCCTGCTCAAACTGCACGATTGACTCACAGGGGTTAGAAGTTCATAGGTCACGATGCAGGTCTCACACTATACGGCCCGATGCTCTGATGCGACCTGAGTGCTCACACTGTGCCTCCATAACATGAAGGTTATAACAGAAAATCTGTCGCTCTCTCTCTCTGTCTTTCACTCACACAGACACACCACCACCATCAACTTTGCTAAATTGCTAATGAAAAACATGATCAGGCAGCTGTGATTGAGCAGCAGTGTAGATCCAACTGTTTTCACGGTTGTTGTGGTCGTGATAATTTTGTGATGCCACATCGAAAAGGCTCGGATGAGCTTTCCAAAGTTCTACAAGTTGTTCCTCCATCGCTTGTGTCCAGATCACACGCTGCACAGCCGTGCTGCGCCGTCTTTTTCACCGATGTTTACGTGTTTGCGCATGAGCAGTGTGAGCGGCTGTGGTGACACCCTCACGACCGATTGATGATCGGGAGCTGGTCGTGAGGTGTTAACCGCTTCTCGTTACCCCACGTATACTACACGATGCACGATGAAGGCCCAAATCGGGCCGATCACCAAATCGGTCGCACGACTCAAAAATCGTCTCAAAATGGGCCAAAAACCGCACAGTGTGAGCCCAGCGTTAGAGCAGCAATGTTTGTTCCCCTCAGAGAAAGAAAAGAAAAAAGGCTGCAAAAGTACAGGGAGGAATGGGAAAAGGAAAACACCTGGCTGGAAAAGTGCACGATAACACCTATAAAGCGCACTGCACTGTGTGCCGGTGTTGTGCCAAAAAGTGATTTCCAGTGTTTCTGTGTATTTTTTATGTGTAATATCTTTATGTA